GCCCGAGCACTCCTGGTCTTGCACCACACGCTTTTTAAAATGATATACGGTTGATCATGACATTGTCTCGTATGCCTGTAAGTGGCATCCTTTTCTTCTTGCGATATTTGGAGGCTGTTCATGGCTGTGCTTCGATGCATGTCTTGTGTCGTCATCAGCCCAAATCTGCGCGGTGTTTCCACGTTTCTTCGAAATCACGAATCTAAAAATGACAAAACCGCTTTGCAAATCGCCGCCTGTAAAATTTCGTTTGTATCTACTATCATAGTCAAGTTTTCTGGTCTCGGTCTGGCTCTCAAGCTCAGATTCCGTCCACTGTGACCTCGCTCTTCTTTTGTATTCTTGCACATTACTCTTCTACTGCAATCGCTCACGCAGAACTTGCTTCTGTCTCCTTACGACTTTCATTGCTTCCGAGTGGCACGCCGTTGGCTCACCAAGCGATTCGCAACATTATCCGAAAAGGTGGTAAAGGGTTGCTGATTATTGTAATTGGCTTGTCTCGGAACTTTATGTTCAAAAATTGTGATTCGTAGAACCTGTCATGGTCTATAATCAATGATTTGATCTTTGTGAATACTGACTAAAAGCATCTACGACCTAGGGTGCGCATTGAACAGATCCTACGGTGGTCTCCATGTTTGTTGCTTCACATGATCTTCACTTATGACCAATCGCCTTTTCATATCTCATTTTGTTGTTCGATTAATCATGCAAAGTTCGTCACGGTTGCGCGGGCGACACGAATAATCATGAATCTCAACAAAGTGAATGCGCTCGCACCTTCTTTCTTTCTTCTTTTTTGAAAAGCGGCTGGCGTACCTTTTGTCGAATCTCGAAGCTCAACACTTGTTGCAAGAAAAGAAGCAAACGGCCGTGAGCCGCGCAGCATCCACTTTTGCCTAGTGGCAGGTTCGGCGCGTGGACTCTAGGCTATGTGTAGCTATGTGGTCGAGAACGCCAACCGCTCGATGAGCTCCGGGTGCCTGCTCATCATGTAAGTAATGTCTTGTGACTCGGAGTCGTTCGCATGCAGCAAACCGATCTATGATTCATGCTTTCCTCTTATACCGCGCAGCTACGAACATCGTCAAGGTTGTCGTAGATGCAACGCCGCGAAATCGGGGAAGCAATAGTGTGAGTTGCTCTGTGGGATTTTCTATTTTATTGTATGTCTGCCGTGCGCCCTCACACAGCTTTTAGCATCATTTGGGCTGTTCTTGGTTGAACATTGATCCATACATACTCATGTGCCGAGCTTATTGTCAGAACGATAGACGGGTACATGCTTCCCACAAACGCATAAGTTCTACGGTAAATGCTAGCACTAGATGAGGAGAGCGATGATTGTAGACACGTTCTCAACAATCAGTTGACCAGTCGTGATCTAGTGTCCCCACTTGAGTGGATCGGGGCAAGCATTTTCAGCCGATGTGCGTTTGTCTGCCTGCGTGATCATCAGAAAAAAAAGTTTATAATTTGTCAACGAGGGTCATGAGCATTCATTCGTGATTTCTTGTAAACTTTGACGCGTCCCGCGTATCTCATAGCCGAAACTAACTTTATGATCCGTGAAAGTAAATTTTGTTTTATCGTGACAACACTCACGCAACCGCAAGGTCGGTGAAGCTTGGAAGATCCTCGTTTTTTTTTT